TTTAGTATATTACTTGTGTGGTGTAGAAGATAATTATTTAAGAATGTAATTATGTAAGAATGTTAACACTGTTATAATCTTTTTTAGTATAATACTTGTGTGGGTAGAAGTGAATCATTTACTGCTTGCAAACCAGTGATGGTAAGATGATGTCATGGGGTAGGACTGGATAAGTCTGACTTCTTCCTACTCCATTCAAGCATGTACTAGGTATAAGCACATTGATATTGGATTATGTGTAAAATTATGTGTGTTGTCATATCAACTGTTTTTACATGCTTGAAAGAATAAATCAAATCAAATCAGTAGTTTGTTTCATGCAGATTTGATCATATTAACTTGACACAAGAAAAAGTGGAAATGTGTCAGTGCTGCAGACAGCCAGGCTGATCCTTCGCTTCCTGCTCCTGGACCAACTTTTTTTTTATTTCTCCCTCTTCTTGGATCTTTCTCTTCATCCTTCTTTTGTTTCTCCCTGCAGTTCTTTGTGCTCTGTCACAGTTTGCTGCAGCTGGCGCAGCTGTTGGTGTCAGGCTACATGAAGAGCTCCATCTCCACCATTGAGAGACGCTATGGCCTCTCCAGCCAGAAGTCGGGGTTCTTGGCTGCCTTCAACGAGGTTAGTATGGGACACGCTCTGCACTTCATTCTTGTTGCTGCTCTTTTATTTTGATGAGGTCATGTCTGATAGTTTGAAATCTCTTTCATAAAATAGATTTCTGACTGTGAGTCACATTAAAAAAGATTCTTTACATTAACGTCTTCTGCTTCTGGTGATGCTCCTTCTTCTGTCTTAGACTCTTAGAACATCTTTATGGGAAAATCACCAGTGTGTTCATAATGTTTCACATGTTCATGCACTTCAGTCAGTGTAGGTACATGACTTGATAAGAGAGAGGCCACTGACAGTGGGAGGGGAGTTTTTTATTTCACTGTCAAAATAAAAACGAATGCACTTTTCCATCATTTCTGTCCACACACTGTGCATTGGCTGTTGGCTGTTAGTTATGCAGGATGTCACCCCGTCCTCTGTGTGTCCAGGTGGGGAATACAGTCCTCATCATCTTTGTGAGTTTCTTCGGGAGTCGAGTCCACCGGCCACGGTTCATCGGCGTCGGCGGCGGTGCTCTGCTGGCCTGCCTGGCCTCACTGCTGATGGCACTGCCACAATTCCTGAACGGACCATATGAATACACCGACCACATCACCTGTGAGAGCACACACACATCTGGCCTCGCTGTCCTCAAAAAGCCTCTGTAACAGTGTTTCTCAACTTCAGGGTCCTCGTTTGGAGAATAAGTGACCCCATGTGTGAGGGAAGTCTAACCTAGGGTTCTGCACCTGACATGCATCAATTCATTATGGAAAAAGTCCCAATCCCACTGGGTCTGGGTGCCTCAGAATTGAGTGGACCCATGAAGACATCTATGGGGTTAATTATTTCAGGAACTATTGGATAAAGAGGTCATACAGTACATATTCCAGTTCATGGCAAGATGCATTAAAAACTGATGATTAGATTCCTGTCAGTGTCCGCTGACAGGTGTAGAAGACTGTTAAATTGAAAGATGATGGGTAAATCCCAATTCCCTTAACTGGATCCACATTTCCCTCTCTTGAGTCTTTTCCTTGCATCTTAGTCATGCCTGCATAAGATGTGAGGAAAAATGCAAAGAGACAGGAGTCAAGGAAACATGCTGTTAGAGGTGAGATGTCCTTTCCTCTGCTCCGTCTTTTGAAGGGTTAAATCACCTGCTAATTTCTGATGAAGGGGCGTCGGTTCATAAAAGATTGCCACAAAGGATGCTGTCATGTATCCATGTTCATGTCTCCTTCAGGCCTCCTCCTCCTCAATATTCAAAACAGGGACGTCTGTCAAGATGATGCACCAGAGCAGCCTTCGGGTCGAGTGAGGAACAATATATAAGGGTTTACCTAATATGTATTAAACTTCCCTTCTGTGTCTCCACAGCCTCCAGTGATAACAGCTCTGGCCTCTGCCGGTCACAGAGCTCCCTCAGCACCTTGTCTTCCAATCAGAGCTGCAGCGAGCAGGAGAGCCCCTCCCACCAGGGGGTGTACCCTGTGCTGCTGCTGGGGCAGCTGTTGCTGGGTATCGGAGCCGTGCCCATCCAGCCTTTTGGCATCTCCTACATAGACGACTACGCCAGCAGGAGGAACTCTCCGCTCTACCTCGGTACACCCACTAAGGAAACCAACCTTGGTGCTGTTCTGATTAGCACCAGCACCTTAAATGGTTTCTACTAGCAGAGGGGTTATATCACCACCTACTTCTGGGTTGCACCCTGATTTACATTTAGCCACCAAAGCAAAGATGGGTTATAATCAGATTTGCTTTCTGTTTGACACAGATGTGTGTGTGCGCTATGTAGCCGAGTGAAAATGAAAGCATCTCAGCTAGATTTTATCTGGACATCTGGACATTTTATTTGGACAACAGAAAACCCAACTCACTTTAGTCCAGTTTAAAGGCCTGTAGTTACTCTGACAATGTTGCTACTAGTGGGTTTTATTCTGCTTGTGCTGATCATCATGGTCATGGTGTTTCAATCCTGGTGCGTGTTTTGAATTTTCCATTCACCGGTTTTTATTAAAAATGTATTGAACATTATGGTTAAACAGCATTGAGTTGAAAAGTAGAAAAGTAGGATATAAATGTCCCTTTCTTCTCCTCCTCCCCACCCGCTGTCGTATCACCTGGGTGAGAAATAACTCCTTCATAGTCGTAGTTACCTGTTGGAGGCTGACATTTGCTGGGAGATGAGGACTTCTTATATTTCAGAAGTTTAGCTGTGCATTGAAAAGAGAAAGGAAAAGACAACTCTTATCTGCCTGCTCTGTTAGGACGTATCCGACTGATGTACAGTACATACAGTATGCGCAGTCAGACAGAAATGACGGTCATGGTAGAAAGACGAGTGTAGCTGACATGAGGAATGCTGCAGCACCCATGCAGTGTGTGCACATCCTGCACGGTCACACCAGCCTGTGGCATCTGCAGGTCCTCTGCTCACATAACAACTGGAACAAGTAGGAGACTGAACCTGATTCGCATGAGGAATTGTGAAGAGTTGCAGTTAAAAACAATAGAAGATTAGTTTATTTTTAATGAAGTTCTGCTGTTGTTTCCTATTGTTTTTCTTTCTGCTGTTCATCTGATCTTCTGTCTGCTTGCCTCAATTTTTCTGCTGGGACAATCAACAGTGTTCTGCTGAAATACACAAGTTACAAACAGACCCACACACAGCTGGAAGCACAGGAGAGTTAACATTAAAACAACTGAACAAAAGATGCTTTCACAAAATGCTAATAACATGTAAAAGGGCCATGTAGATGAAAATGTCAGACAGAACCAGAGGTGATTTAGAAGTAGGCTGTTTTGATTTTGTCCTGCACCATCTTTAGTAACTTCAACTCGTATCATGAATTGTTTCGGTTCTCAGCAGCTCTCTGTTTTTGTTGGTGCTCTGATGTTTGTCTCGGTCTTGTTTTTCAGGCATCCTCCTCGCTGTGACCTCCATTGGCCCAGCCTTTGGCTTCATCACTGGCTCCATCATGCTGCGCTTCTATGTGGACATTGACAAGCTACCCAAAGGTAAGGAGACGCTGTGTCACCAACTCACAGCTGGGCTAAAACACTGCATAATTTGCGGCATCAACTCATTAATTACTGACAGTTATCTTAAACAGGACATGAGTATTTCCTGCATGTGGTAATTACTTCAAGTTCTGGGGGTTTATTCTGTTTAAGTGTGAAGTAAAATCAGCAAAAAGTGGATTGGTGTTGGTCATTTCCTCGGAGTATCTGCTGTGAAACCGACAGAGAGCTCTCAGGTGTAATGTGACGCGAAACGTTTTTCACTGTACATCTGGTTCTGATTTGATTCATGCAGGATTTTTAGTCCAAATGAACCCGTGAGACTAAATCAAGCACCAAAAAAAAAAAAAACTAAATAATGCCCATTTTATATTTTTCATCCTGTTTTCTGTTAGTTGTTCAGCGTGGCTCAGCTTTTACAGAAGTAAGCACTTTCCTTTGGATTTAGAGAAGTTTAAACAGAGATAAAAACAATAAACATAGTAATTAGAAACTACATATTGTTGCACAGAGTTTTCAGCTTAGCACAAACAATAAGACTGGTTGTTAGGTGGCAAAGACACCCTATGGAAAATAAATCAACCACCCACAAGACAAGTTGAAGTCAAAACACCCAGGCTAAGACAGGTACAAGACAAGTCTGAGTGAACACGATTGCAACACAGTTCCAGTCCAAGCAGACTGCCGTGAGCCCAAGTCAAAAAAGCCACGAGTCTGAGAAGCAGTCAGAAAAATGTCTCCAAATTGAGTCTGGACCTGACACTGCAGCTTTGGTAAAGTAACTCATTGAGTGAATGAACCTGTTGGAACTGCGAATCCTCAAGGCTGCACCTGAACACATCGTTATGAAATAATCAGAAATGCACCTGAGCTCGTTTCTGTGCCAGTTCACCTGTTCAGTCTTGTAGGATATGATTCGTCTTACCATTGCTAACTCTGAGAGACAAGGCAGTCCAAGTAACTTCAAAACAGTGCTGATTTATTCAAAGGATCACAGGTAAAATTAACATTACACGCTCAAGTATCTTGTACCTCCACCATGCACACAGGCAGATGTAAGATGAAAGACCCTGAGCCCACCAGGCCTATACATTTTATCACCTCGGTTGGGCTAGCCCCATACTACACAGAAACGTCAACCGAGACGTCTCTCTTACCAGCTTTGCAGCTGGCCATAGCAGTAGTCAAAACATGAAGCAAATCAATGTGTGAATGTGTGTGTCTGTTGGTTAAGTGGTGTGTAACTAAAAACATTCTCACGACCTCTAGTACATGTCGTGGCTTAAACATAAAAACATATTATGGCTCAGGCTATAGTTATACACGTCGTAATAATAATATTAAACACCCTGTCTGCTGACAGTCATCAACTTTTCTCTCTAGTTATCCTTGACCAGATGTACCCTGTAGAAACTCATAAGCATGACTAAGCATTTAACAGTCTAACTAGACATCCTATCTCCACTAAACATTTCTAATACATAAAGTATCTATCCAATATCTATCTGACTAAAAATACCTAACAGTCTGTTACTGAGTTTGGCTGCAGTCCAGGGTGTGTCCCTGTCCCAGGAAACTATGAAAACGAGTTGGCATGAACAACACATTAATTAATTTTCCTGCTGTATATTAGTCTGCTCTACCTGGGAAATGAAGCTGAGAAGCTGAAGCTGATATGTGTAATTAAAATATATAGCTAATAATATTTTTTCAAGCCTCAAACTACTCTGCTCTTTGTGTAGGTACCAGTTTAGAGAATTTAGTTTATTTCATATTATTAATCTTACTGCTAACCCAAGCCATGCCATGGCTTCATGCTGTCTACAAACATCCTGCTACATACCAGAGCCACAGCAGAGAGCTGTGTGACGCACATGGGTCTGACTTGACGGTTGTCTGAGGCTTTCCTCTAAGCACACCTCCTTTAGTTCACCTGGGAAACAGACCTACAGCAGCGGCGCTCGAGCCTTAGGCCATCCACGCCTCTGCAACGAGGCTGCACTCTGAATGAGCCAGTTCATCAATGCAGCAGTGGGGCTGGTCAAAAGGCTGAACATGGCTCAGGAAGTAGAACAGAGTGATATGTTTACAGTGTTTTAGAAGCCACAGGGGTTGAGATTCAGGTAAACCATCAAACTCCTACTGTAGATCTCTTACCCAGATGTCATGTCCCATCTGAATCAGAGGTGACAGTTTTGTAAAACTAAGATATTTGTGCTTCGACTGACATGAGCTCTCTTCTTCCTCCAGATGAGATCAAGCTGGACCCCAAAGACCTTCGCTGGGTTGGAGCCTGGTGGCTCGGCTTCCTGGTGGCATCCTGCCTCATCTTCATCACTGCGCTGCCTTACCTCTTCTTCCCCAGAAACATGCCCAGAGAGGTGAGCTGGGAGCGGTCTGACTGGCAGCTGTAGCTCTCTGCAGCCACGTCTCATTAATGTTCCAAAGTCCAATTTACTAATGAGCCGGAGAGTGTGTAACGGCTCAACGGGCTGCTATTTCAGCACAAGGCGGAGGCAAGTAGAGGGAGGAAACGGACAACCAAAATAAGGAAGAAATTCAAAAGCCATTTGCATTAAAACATCCAAAACTTTATGAATGAGTCACACAGATATACCTTGTTGTCAAAATGTGTATTGTACATGCTTCCACATAAAGATGGGGTTAACCAAACACAAACAGAGGGCCAGGAGGGGACCACGGCAAAGTTTTGTCCCTAGGCCCCCTCATGGATTAATGTAGCACGGTGTATGTATAGTTTTACCAAATGTCAAAGTTTTTTTCTCTACAAGATACACAAGTTAAAACAGTGAGACAAAAACAGCAGGTCAGAAAAATAAAGTTGGCAAAAAGGATGAAAAATCTAAAATGTGCACATAAACCGAACTGACTTCAACAGCTTGGCCGGCTCTAACAAGAATCTGTGCAGTGTGTTTTGGCTCAAAGCAAAGAGAAAGTTCATCCCTGCACATGATCAGTCAAATAAATGAGGTCATTTGTTCCACACGTCCTAAACCGAGTTCCACATAACCTGAGTCCCCTGAGACTGAGAGCAAACTACAGCCAAGCTTATTTACTTTCACTTTTAAATACCAGATATTTGAGCCAAAGCTTTTCTCTCCCATGAAGGCGGTTATGTAAGTCAGAGGTTTGTGTAGCCATTCACCACTTTAATCATGAACTGGTCTGACTTTGTGTTTTATGCCCCGTTACATATGATTCATTGACTCTTGTATGACCTCCAGAAACGGTTTGGACCAGCTGGATTCCCAGTGTCAGTGGCAGCCTGAGTAGCAAACATCCACATACTGAGATTAATAAGTTATCTTTAGATAACAGTGTCCTCTGTGTCAAACATTTGCTGAGATCTGTGTGTTCAGGTTGTCCACCTCACCACTGCTCTTGATACAAACAAAACACTGCAGTGATCTGAACGGGGGCTTTATGTCATAAACCAAGCTGCATAAAACTCCTAACTTGATCTGTTTTCAGTTTTCACATCTTTCCTGCAATGTTGAAACTAAACTCTTTCATGTGAAGTGAATTTTAAAATCAAAACATACACTGAGACTTGGCTTCACTCCGCTGCAAAATAAAACTATGCACTTTGGCCAGTGATTATAGCAGAGTACAGTGTTGAGCAACCTCCTGGCACCAGTAGCTGAGAAAAATATCCACTTGGTGTTTTCCGTGTCTCATGAACCGAGGCTGATTTTCCTGCTCAGAGCAACATCACTGGAGTTCAGTGCATAAACCATCAGTTTGTGTTTATGACTTGGAAGAACTCAATATTTGAGACATATAATGCATTTTTCTGTCGCATCCTGGAAGCTTCAGCACCAGCTGGACTGTTTCAGTCTACTTCAGGGGTTAAATGAAGCATTGACACCAGCCACACTGTTTTTGACAGATATTGTCTAAAGCAGCTTTTAACCCAAACATTCTGGGCCCTCGTTCAACTGGCTACAGCTGACATTTTTATGATGACAAAATGCAAATGCAGAAAGTTATCTTTGACACTGATGAACCCACTGACTGTATATAAAAACTGGACAAAGTCAATGAGTAACAAGATTTCCCAGGAACCTAATGATATATCTCATCTGCAGTGTAGAGTGTCTGCAGCTACAACGGCTCATAACACAAGCCGCACAGGGCTCACGTGGCATTAACGGACATGTTTATCTTAAATGTCTTAATGCATCATGAATGTAAACCTTTCTACCATGCAGGGCCCCGGCAGATTCCAAAACAGTAGCAGACAGAGTAGTTTCAAATCCTGCTGTGAAAAAACAGGTCTATGTCATGTCCTGTTTCCATATTTGTCCAGGATGCCGGGGACGATGCCGAGTCAGGACAACACAGTACGCAGCAGCAGACAAACCCACTCCAGGAACTCTCCCTCCCTCAGTTCCTCAAAAGTAAGAGTCTTCTTTTCCTCTTCTGTTTCCTGCAGCGGAGGCAATTAAAAGACACCAACACTGAGCAAGAGTCACTGTCTCTACATGGGAGCTTTCATCAGCAGTGGTGCTTGAAAGCTAGATGGCACAAAAGCCTTGACTTTTATTTGGAGCATTCTGCTGATGCTTCTTAATAATGAGCCTCCTTTGAGTTTCATTCATCATCAGATGGGAAGTAAACCTAGTTTAAAGAGTCACTTCACCCAGGTCACAAAGGATAACGGCAATCATTCTGCTCACTGCTAGCACCCTATAGGCGAGTTCAGGTTCTCTTTGCTGAGGTTGTAACATATGTGACTCTGAGACTGCTGCTTCTGACATGGTGCTCGAGCAGAAAAATGAAGTTCGAGTCTACAGCCATGGTAGCAGCTCTGTGAAGCTTTGCTTCTGCTCTTGGATGTTTAGCAGGTATAATGTTTACCTGTTGTGATGCATACCGGATACCGTACCATGACATTACCATGTTCTTGGTTAGTGTGTTAGCATTTCATCACAGTTCATCCAGTAGTTGTTGAGATATTTCATGTAAACTAAACGTCAGCCTCACATCGTTAGCCTCGTCCACTGGGGACCAGGGATGTCTGATGTCATTTTAACCTATCCAGTAGTTTCTGAGATAACTGCTAAAGCTGCCTCTCTGTCTACACAGCAGTAGGGGCAAACTGCCCCCCTCAGAGTTTATGTCATCGTCCTTCAGACCTCATCATCCTCACTGTCCAACACTGTCCTTCAGGTTTTCCTCGTATTGCTCTGCGGACCCTGAGGAGTCCCATCTACCTGCTGGTGGTTCTGGCGCAGGTCAACCTGGCAGCGCTGCTGTCCGGCCTTGCCACGTTTATGGCCAAGTTTATTGAGAGACAGTTCAGCCAGACGGTCTCCTTTTCCACCCTGATGATTGGTGAGAGAGCACGTGGGTCTGTGGGTCCCGGGATTCCTTAGAATGAGCATAAGTTTATCATAATTGTCACAGGAGCAACAGTAGCATCAAATAAGGAATAATCAGAATCAAATGTGACTCCTTTTTTTCCAGGAGGTGTTTGTATCCCCCTGGCAGTGCTGGGCACCGTCCTGGGTGGAGTTCTGATGCGAAGATTGAATCTTTCGGTCAGCGGCGCTAGCAAGTTCTGCATGGCCGCTATCCTGCTGTGCATGCTTACCGCCATGCCGCTGCTGTTCATTGGCTGCCCCACGCAGACGGTCAATGGGGTCTTTCCACCCAGGTAGCAATACCATCAGTTTAAAGGCACCAACTACACAGACACCTGGGAAGCTCATTCCACCACAGACGGGGAGCTAATTTCACAACTAAGAAGAAACTAGTTTCACAAATAACGGGGAACAGATTTCACCACTATCAGGGTATTAATTTTAACACAAACACTGAACTAATTCCTCACTAACAGGAAACCACTTTCACCACTGAAGAGGGAATTAATCTTACTTAAAACAGGGACGTAATTTTACTATTGACAGGGAACTAAACGTTAAACGGACCAGTTTCAGCACTGACAGGAAACTAGTTTTATTACTAACAGGGATGTACAGTGAGTTCACCAGTGACATGAAGCTAATTTCACCAAAGTAATAGATTTACTGACTGGGTTTTTCAACCCTCACATTTTTAGGGCAGTTATAACAAATGTCCTACTAAAACATAAAGGTTTAATAACATGTGTTTTTCAGCTCTGAGGCACTGTGTAGTTCCAGTTGTCAGTGTCGCCAGGAGGCATTCAACCCAGTCTGTGGCTCTGATGGTGTGGAGTTCAGGTCTCCTTGTCATGCTGGCTGCACAGCCATGGAAATGGATGCCAACAAAACAGTCACAGTAAGAATTATTGTTGCATCTTACTTTGAAATCCTTGTGCACAGTTTCATCTTTAAAACCTCGGACATTCAAACTAACAGAGCTTCTCAATATCTCTGTGGGTGAAAATGTCTCAGACCCAGATTCACTCTGAAAGTATTGCTCTGAATTAAAATGAATGTGTGACAGAGACCAGCTGTAGATTCGTGTGCTTCCAGTCTCCTTCTCTGAGTAAACTGAGCAACTCTGCAGCGTCTTGGTCTTTTTGACTCAGAACATAATCTAATCATCTGTTCCCTCTCTTCGTCCCACTGTGTGTCACAAACATGCCCTCGTACATTCCAGCACCAGATTCTGTGGCTGTGGTCGTGAGTAAAAATAAACAGCACTAATATGCAGAGTGAAACTAAAGTGGAAACCAGTTGAAGCTTTCTGTGTAGCCCAGTCAGACGAGTGGCTGGAGGCTGCTGGGAGCTGGGCCACTTACTTTTATTGCCCTTATCTTGTCAACGTAAGCTGGAAAGTATTTGCGAGTTTTCATTTTCTTTTTGTTTTGGCAGTAGTTCTTCATTTGCAAACATCAAAATTAAAGTGGATGTTGGATCGTGACTGGTCAAATGTGTGGGAAGTGAAACCCTGTCCCCAGATGTTTGCAGCAGCTTCGGCAGTTTGGTGCCGGTAAATGCAGGGGTTTATTGTACATCCATAATTTTTAGGCCACAGAGGTTTTTCCAAAGAAGCAAATCTGATGTTTAATCAGCCAGAGAAAGTCCAACTCCTCCTGATTTCACCATCACCCTCTCCTACACAGCAGCTTCCCTTTCCGGGAAACAGAAGTAGCCACTTTCCGAGGTTTCAGTGAGTGAGGAAAGACAAAAGACAGCAGAGCAATCGGAAAATTGAATGATTACACGCCTTCAACTACAAATGGCATCAGTTAGAGTTTAAACAGAATTCCTGCAAACAGTGGGACCCTCTGTAATAGCAAGAAAGGGAATCATTATTTTGAGGTCAAAATGTGCAGTATTTATTGCAGCATTAAAATACACAGCCACAGTTCAGCTTGTTACAGCCCTCGCTGCAGGTGTGTTCACACAGACAAGAGTCCAGCATTCCTCTAAATGTGGCTGTTTGCTCAGTCTGTGCAGCCAAATTTACTGCCTGGTTAGATGTAAGCCAGTGACAGATGAATACATACTGATCTCCAGACTCACCACACACTCCTCCAGTCTCTCTGTACATTTCCAGTATAAAGCAGATTCTTGGTCTGCAACTCCTGATTATTGTCATTATTGATCCATCAGCAGATTATTTTCTTGGCTGAGCAGTTAATGGTCTGTCAGTATAATGGCAGAACATCGTTGTTTTGGTCCAGAGGTAAGTCTCTCAGCAGCTACTGGTTTAAATGACATCCTCAGAGGATGAACTGATGTTGTTTGCTCATGTTGAGGCTGTAATAAACCCTGCAACCTGTAGGGGGCGCCGACCTGGCCTGTACCCTGACCCTGTGTCTGCTCCTGTAGAACTACACTAAGTGTCGGTGTGTTGGCCATCTCGGATACGCCTCTCCTGGAACCTGCGGCAGTGGATGTGCCCACCTCCTCTACCCCTTCGTGGCTCTGCTGGGCCTCACCAGCTTCGTGGCCTCCTTCTCCCAGACGCCGTCCTACATGATGATACTCAGGTATGAGAACATGCAGGTACCACGTCAGCTGCTCACATCTGTAGATCATCAGTTATTTCAGTTGAAAAGCAAAGGACCATTTTGAAATACATATACTTTGCTTGAGTATTTCCATTTTATGCTACTTTATTCATCTTCCACATTTTGTTTCAAAGGGAAATGTTGTACTATTTACTGCACTACAGTTTGACAGCTGTAGTTACTAATTACTTAAACATAATAATCCTACAAAACACGATCCATCGATAAAGGTCAAAGCAGCACTTCCAGCCTCTGTTGCTCGTGACCCCTCACAAAAGGTCAGTGTCTAGTTCTGGGCTCTTGTTGAGTTTGTCTCTGTTCCCCTGTAAACTTCTCACATGGTTTAATTTTAAAACTTATTAGGCCCAGAGAGGAATCTTATCGCATTAACTGTAGTTTGTTTGTTTGACAAAGCTGCTGTTGCACCAGAAGCAGAAACAACAGTTTTTAAGGGCAGCGGCTAAATGAAACAGCATTAAGGTTAATGGAGCAGCCTGGAAACAGCAGGTGATCTGAAATATTGATTCATGATTGTGGCACAGTGAAACAACAGCTGGAACAAACTGACGTTTTTGAACAAACTACTTGATCTGAATCACGGAGCTCCTGGTTCACAACTCTGAGTCTAATGAGCTCCAAATGTTGATCCGGTGCAAAAACCTCTGCTGATTTGCTGATCATAAGACCGACACAGTGTTGTCTTCACCCACAAACCAAGTCCAGTCAGCACATTAGCCTCCAGAATGCAGTTCCACTGGGGCGTATGGTCTAGGTGCCGGTGCAGCACCCACAGAAAACACCCTCCTAACCTCATTGCCTTTATCTTGACTGTGATGTTTGCATCTCTTGCTGCAGGACAGTGCCAACAGAGGACAAGTCTTTTGCGGTGGGGGTTCAGTACATGCTGTTCAGGGTGCTCGGTGAGTCATTTGCAGCATCCTGTTTACTCTGGACAAGGCACAAGAGGCCTGGGTTTGAAGACCTGCAGCTTAGTCACTCATAGCTGTTGGTCTGATTCATCAGTGTCTCTCTCATGTGTGTTTCAGTCAGCCAGATAAACATAAACACTACGGCTAATAAAAATAAAACTGCTCACAGAGGTGTTGATCCCTGGGGTATATGCTTACATCTCCTCAACCTGTTAGGGTACGCTCGAACACAGAGTAAGCAAGCAGATAAAAAGCGGACCCAGGTGGCTGGCTTTGGTGCAAGCAGTGAGGTTTATTTACAGTGAAGGTAGTGACATATATACAGGAGGAGTAATGAGGTAGATGACCGGGTGTCGATCAGCAGCAGCAGAAAAA